ACATTTTCAATACTTACCAGTCCCTCTGCACCAAAAACTTGAGTCAGTTCAAATTCTACAGGATTTCCTCTTTAATTTGATTCCCATACTTCTTCTCTAAGCACATTTCTCTGAATTTTTTAAATCATTTTTGAATTACTGACGCCAGAGCGAAAAACTAAAAACGCAATTTTACTATATTTGGCCCATGGTTTCGCGAATATGAATATTTATAATTGTGTTTAAAATTTACTCTCGCGCGCTGTTATATGTATAATGAGCTAGAAATTTATAAAAATATTAATTATTAAATAAAAATAAAAAACAAATATAGCCAAAACTGGTCAAGAAAAGGAGTTTCTACTATTGCCATCAGTGCATATTAAAAATCCCGAAAATCCCTGGATTATTTGCCAAAAATCCCGGCATTTTTGGGACCTTAATAAGGCCGGGATCCCGGGATTAACATTCCAGTACGGTACCGTGGGGTATAATACCATACGGCATGTTTGCTCACACAGCGCTACTGATTGTGCCATGTCGCCAGCTTAGAGTGAAAAGTTGCTAAGTCCCATTTTAAAAATTTGACTTCTTATAGCAACTTTCCTTAAGTATTCCGCAAAACATTGAATACAACATTTTACCTGTTCAACGAAAAGCAAAACACCGTACGGATCAAGGGGATTGGATCTTTATTAAAAGATTTCGTACTATTTTGGCCTTATCGGATTTTCGGTGCTTCTCTTGCACTCACGGTTGCCACTTTGATAAAGTGTTCCCAAAATTGGTAACATTTATTCTCTTTAGTAATTTGGTAACTTGTGATCTCATTTGGTAACTTTCAGACAAAATGCTTTAATACATTAAAATATTTTTGAATATCATTCAATATCTGCGGCAAAATTACATACACATAGCTAATTTCTTATTGAATGAATTTGTTTTTGATGATAGATACGAAAGTGTGATTTATGATAGGCGATGTGCACATATCTACATACACATGTGCGATGAGAAGCTAGGGTTTCNTAATACATTAAAATATTTTTGAATATCATTCAATATCTGCGGCAAAATTATATACACATAGCTAATTTCTTATTGAATGAATTTGTTTTTGATGATAGATACGAAATTGTGCTTTATGATAGGCGATGTGCACATATCTACATACACATGTGCGATGAGAAGCTAGGGTTTTGGTGTAGGCTGCGGTCTTGCAAATTTCTTAGATTATTATTAGTTACATTTTTCATTTCATTCTCTGAACGACATGCAGACGAGATTTTAATAATAGCCTGAGGAATAATGAAGCTATCCTTGCCTCAAAAGCGATTTATTTTCGTACTATAAAGTAGTTTATTTAAAACGTTAAAGTTGGTTTTTTTGAGTTAAAGTTTATTTAAAATTGCTTTAAAAAAATAAAAATTGGTTATGAAATATATTTAAATTTAATCAAATAAAAATACAAGTAATTTGTCTAAAGGGATGAAAATCTACGAATCAATGATTTCACTGGGTCACAAATTTAAATTTTTGTTCTGCCACTATTTAGAATAGCTCGCTGATTCCGAAAGCCGAGTGAATGCCGAGTGATGAAGTCAAGCTACTAACAAANCGCTGATTCCGAAAGCCGAGTGAATGCCGAGTGATGAAGTCAAGCTACTACTAAAAATCGGTAGATAAATAAAACAGTTGCACGGCAACTTTCATATAAGCTCGAAAGTGTAATGGGCGTTACATTGTTTATTACAAAAGAAAAAATGCTTTTAATAACTTTGGTAACTTTTTGATAATCTTTTTAAAAATTTTTGGTAACATTTCTTCTAAGTGTGTGGCAACCGTGCTTGGACTTAGCGAATTTTCCTTTCATTGAGTATAAACGAGAAAAAATAAAACATGTACCTTTATCCTTTTCGAAAAAATGCATTTTGAATTTCTCTTGCTTGCTATATCAAAACATGAGTTTTCATAAAAAGTGGACTTAGCAACTTTTCACTCAAAGCTAGCGATATACTGTATGTTCATTTCAATCCTTATATCGCAGAAGACAGTACCGCTCAGCGTCTGTTTTGGACATCCTTTAAGGGCCGGTTCCTAAATGTCTGGTTAACACTAATCTCCGGTTTAACATATTTATCGACGTTATCAACTCAACTCCCTGTTATATGCATGTTCGATTTTAAAAAAAGCTTGTCGGGAAATACCCAGCAGTACGGGGGGCGACTACAGGACTGCTGAATCGGTAGCTACGTGATATAAACTCCGTCAATTACCGACCGACTGTCTTTTACAAGGCAATGTCCTAGGCGGTAGTCACCATCGGCTCTCTCTGCACTACAGGGAGTTAGTAAAGTAGTCCCTTGCGTGATTTATGGGCGCCCTCTGTCGTAGGGTTTCGCTATCTGGTTCGACTCTGCACTACCATGTGCACTACCACGGGTTAAAAAGCGGTTCAAAAGTAGCGATTGTCTCCAGCAGTACTGGAGGGTAGCTAAATGATTAATTTACGCATATTTATGCATGTATTTACATATGTATGTCCCATATCTGCATATGAACCCGCCATTTGAGTGGTCATTTTAAATAAAAGCTTGTTTTAAAAAATTTGTTTAACATTATTTTTTATTCAATTTCTTCAAATCAAAATTTCCGTACAGTTCCACCTAATTTCCTTTATCCGTACCATGAAATTTCCGTTTTGTGCGGTTAACATCAGCGACATAATTAGCAAAAATCTCCCATCCGTATAGGTCCTATGAATTGCGACACAATTGGATTTGTCTGGAATCAGAAATAATCCGTTCACAGAGGCCCACTCATTTACTCGAGTCAAGTCAGAACTTAAGTTTTTAATACACATATCAGGACGTTTGGGGAACAGCAATTCTACAATTGTACATCATTAGCATAATCATGGACATTACAATACTTGAGAATGTTAGTTAAGTCATTTACGTATAAAACAAATAGCACAAATGAAGCCTGGAGGGAGTCCTTTGACTACGGCAAAAGATAAATAAGTTCTCAAACTTGCATTTATAATAACTTATGGTAAAGTGAATCCAAAGCCTCGGGAAGAGTTAGGAAAGAAACAATGTTTTCTTCTATTTGCTCGCAAATTATTTCTACCACGTCTAGGATAGCCGTTGTGCAGCTAATATGCAGCCTAAAGTCAGACTGCCGTTCAGATAAGAGCCCTGCAGTACGGGGGAGTGACTACAGGACTGCTGAATCGGTAGCTACCTGATAAACACCGTCAATTACCGACCGACTACTTGCAGTGTATTTCATCGACTACTTTTACAAGGAAATGTCCTAGGCGGTAGTCACCATCGGCTCTCTCTGCACTACCGGGAGTTACTAAAGTAGTCACTTGCGTGATTTATGGGCGCCCTCTGTCGTAGTTTTTCGCTATTCTACTTACGACCGGTTCGACTCTGCACTACCATGTGCACTACCACGGGTTAATAGAGTAGCTACTTACCTTGGAGTCGGTGCAGTAGCGGTTCAAAAGTAGCGATTGACTCCAGCAGTACTGGAGGGAGTCTATGATCATGTACGTACATACATACATACATACAAAATCATTTGCTTATGTACGAGTAATATACGCTTCACAACTTTAGACAAGAACGACAGTANTGTCGTAGTTTTTCGCTATTCTACTTACGACTGGTTCGACTCTGCACTACCATGTGCACTACCACGGGTTAATAGAGTAGCTACTTACCTAGGAGGCGGTGCAGTAGCGGTTCAAAAGTAGCGATGTGGTACTATGTGGGTCTGTCCTCGTTATTCTTCTTGTGAGTAGGTATTAAAGCTCAGTTTGTCTAGACTTAATTTTCGTAACTTAATTTAACTTAATNGCTGGAGTCAATCGCTACTTTTGAACCGCTACTGCACCGACTCCAAGGTAAGTAGCTACTCTATTAACCCGTGGTAGTGCACATGGTAGTGCAGAGTCGAACCGGTCGTAAGTAGAATAGCGAAAAACTACGACAGAGGGCGCCCATAAATCACGCAAGTGACTACTTTAGTAACTCCCGGTAGTGCAGAGAGAGCCGATGGTGACTACCGCCTAGGACATTTCCTTGTAAAAGTAGTCGATGAAATACACTGCAAGTAGTCGGTCGGTAATTGACGGTGTTTATCAGGTAGCTACCGATTCAGCAGTCCTGTAGTCACTCCCCCGTACTGCAGGGTAGCTACATATATGTGGGTCTGTCCTCGTTATTCTTCTTGTGAGTAGGTATTAAAGCTCAGTTTGTCTAGACTTAATTTTCGTAACTTAATTTAACTTAATATTTTGGCCAACCAGTTATATGAGAAACTGAGTTAGCGGTTAGTTAAAACTTAACTTACCGTAAGAAACTTAAGAACCTGTACGTTTTAGGTTCTTAAGTTACGGCCTTAAGAAAAATGAGAGCGGTGAGAGAATAAAGCTTGCCAGACTCTCGTTTGTGTATATCTTAAAACTAAATGAACGCAAACATTTTTGTTGGGATGAATTTTTTTGATGTGGCATTTCAGGCGGCGAACTGTTAATCAGCTGAAAAAGAAAACAGAAACGAAAATATTTCCGCTTCTGGCTTAAGTTGACGTGTTGAGTAATCTTTGATGATTTCTTACTGTAAGTTAAGATAAGTTAAGTCTAGACTAACTCAGCTCTTACCAAGGCATATTAGTGGCGTTCCCTATTTCCCAGTAGTAGGAAGAAATAGTCCGAAGTGGTCAGATTTAGTCCAAAAAGCGTTTCTGAACTTGAAAATGACAGCAGAAATGAGAGAGCAACTGTGACTCTCTTCAGTCCGAAGCAGTCAGATTTATTCAGAAGAATTTTTGCTGGCAAAATCTTGAAAAGTGCCAAACTCAATTAGCGGAAATTAAAGAATACACGAAAAGTGAGAATAATCTAAAAACTAAAAAAGTGAATTGAAAATGAAATTGACATAGTAAGTGTTTATTGTGCTTCTTTGAATGTGTTTTGTACATACATTTATATTTTTATTTGACATTAGTTTTGTTGTTGCCATTTTTTGGATTAAAAATTTAGTTTTTTGCGTTCCTTAACTTTTTCCTGTTATTCTCTTTTAGTGAGCGCGTTGTTCTTATGCTCTTGCAATTTGACACCTTTAAAATTTTAGCCAGAAAACATAAGGAATGGGCCTATTAAATAAGGTAGAAGAGATTTTGAAATTTCTCTCTTTGAACACCGACTATAATGTCAAATGATGAATAACTTTTAACCCTTTTCAAGTTGGCATTTTCTATTTTTCATCAAAACTTCACTTGCGTTTTAAATTGTGTGAATTTCTTTGTTTTTCATTCATGGATACATATACGAAAATGAAAAGGAGCAGGAACTACGAGCGTTGCGCTGTGTGGCAAGAGCCAATACGTTAAAGTGGTGTAATCCTTTAAGGCGCCTAGTTGCGAAGTTAGAAGACTTCGTTGGGAGAGCAGCTGCGGTGTTCAGTTGGAAGATTTTTCCCGTGTCTGTGAAAATCATTTCAATGCGAATGATTTAATTACTGTCCCATTGCAGGAAAATATTTATATTTTTAAGCGCATGCGTTTATACCCAGGTACTGTTACCATGCCCTGGGAAGTTCCTGTGCCTGAAATGCCTAAAGCACACGAAAGTTCAAAAGTGACGATATCATCTGTTGGAGCGCAGACGCAAACTGAATAAAAGGGCCCATACATGATATCAGCAATTTTTATAAGCTTCGCGCAAATCGCGGAAATTTCCAATCGATTTTAAACTGACAAGTTAGAGACTTAAAATTTTCAGCATACGATGACGGTGCAATTTAAAATGTAAATGAATTCCCCATATGGTCTAGGGGTCTTGATTCAAAGGCGGTCAAAAAATAGTAAGATTTATGGCTAACAGAGCGTAATTTGCCAAAGAACGTAAAACCACTATAAAATTGTTAAAGCTGCCGGCGCGCCGCGGCGGTAGTGTAGCAAAGCTATTCCTATTTTAGATATGAACCACGTTGTAGGCATCCTATCAAGGAGATACAATTAGAAGACTCCAGATGTCGCCCCGCCAGAAGAAGTTAAATATTGCGCCTGAATACATGCCATGCTACAGCGGAAATGGACGACAAGCCATTTCTTTAAATAAAATTAACTGCTGCTATATGTACATATGTATGTTTATACAAAACGTAAGCAAACAACATTTTGCTTGCCAAGTCTTCTGTTCTCTTTCATTGCAAGTTGAATTATTTTAATATCTATTGCAAAATTTTGTACATAAAATAAAATAACACTTTTTAATATACAACGCTTTTATAAATGGACTAAAAATCATAAAATAAAATAATGTAAAAAAAATATTTTTTAAAAACAAGCTTTTATTTAACCTGTACAATCAAAAGAATAAAATGAAGTAGTGTAACAAAAGATTTTTTAGCAAAAAAATTTTTTCAAAACTGCACTAAAATGGATAAAATAAAATAAAATTAAGTGCACAAGTTTTTCGTGCAAAGAAGGAAGTGCAGCTAAGCAAAATATACTGTACATACATACCTAACCAATTATGCATGTACGCTGAATTC